TTAATATTATTATTATTATTACTATTATCATTATCATTATTATTATTATCATTATTATTATTATTACATATGTGTTACCATTATCATCCGTATTATTATTCTTGTTATTATTATTTTCCTCTCATTTCATTTTCGAGTAAATCATTATTACAATCATCAAAAGGTTGTTTTTATTTTAGTATTGTCATTGCTAGTCATATATTTATTATCATTACAAATATTATTGTGCTACAGTTGCTTTTTTTAATAATCATTCAGTTCTTGATCAGTGGTGACGTCGATCAGAAACGGTGACAGTGAAAGACAGAAAGTTACAGTCTGAATTGTTTACTTTTGTTTCCAGAGAATGTTTGTTTATTCATTTATGATCTTAAAAAGTTTTGAAGCATTGCCACAACTTTTCATGTGGTGAAGGTTTAGTTTCGGTGTCGTTTCAGGCGAAAAAGTTTACACTTCAAAACTGTTCATTTTATAGGAGCTCTTGTGAATTAGAGATAAGGTGTTCGCTTCCGATTCAATAAGTCCCGGGATACAAACATCATCATCATCATTACCATCATCATTATCATCATCGGTGTCGTCGTTGTCGTCGTTGCCGCCATTCCTCTGGGCTTCTGACTCATTCTACTGCTACCCCTGGCGCCTTCTTACCGCTGTCTTTCAGCCACACCCTTGATTTTAGGCAGTAGCGCTGGATAGGTTGTAAAGAGGGTGAGGCTTGCCGTGATCAAACATGAGGTCCATCAGATTATAACGATGAGTAATGAATGAAAAGCTAGTCAAGCACACATGATATAAAAAGATGTGAAAATATAGCTTTATGATATTATTATTAACTAGCTGGACCCCCTTTCGATGAAAGGAATGATCGGTGCATTAACATCAACTGAAAGTCATTGGCTTACTATATTTACACTCTACTGGAATGGAGCTATAAATCTTGAGAGATGCAAAAAATTAAAAGGTCTAGATAATATAGAGATTATAGATTTGATTCTCTATTTCTATTTCGTTTTAGTAGGCCTACACTCCAGAATTTCAAAGGTGTGGGATCAGTGTGCGCACCCCTTGTGAACGGAAGCCTTATTAGTTTACAATGACGTCTAAGAAGACGGACTTTCCCTAGAATAGATCTAAACGAAACTTGTGATGAACTGAAAATTAAACTACAACGACTTCAAACTCCTCACTAAAACTGTGCACCCTTTATATGATTCTGAACCACCGTTAATTTTAGTTGTGGTTCCGAAATTTAGGCTGCCAAAGTGAAGAACTTTCACAAATATGATATGTATAGATTATAGATCTAGATATATAATCTAGATCTAGGCATTGGTCGTGGGTTCGAATCCCGTTAGGGTCCCGACGTTGTGTCCTTGGGAAGGCACTTTGCACAAATTTTCCTCACTTCACCCAGGCGGAAATGGGTACCCAGCTATAGACAGTGAAAGATCTTGTTAGTTTGATAGTGTTTGAGCGCGTGAAATCCGCAGCTTGCGCTGTATGCTTCCGCAGAAGCTGAGAATGTTTCTGAGTATTCTCAGGGGGTCTGCTGGGGTAATAATAGTTGTGAAGCGCATAGAGCAAGCTCTTGAGCATGGATATGCGCTATATAAATGCAATTATTATTATTAAAGGTACTTTTTCGCCCACATTGACAAAATTTACATCCTTTAGGAGGTGGGCTTTCAACCCTGCTTGATAGGACCAAACCGGACTGCGAGGTATGCAATAATATCCCAGCAGAGGGGCCAAGATACTCGATAAAGCATCTCACTTGGTTCTCCTGCGTGCGACAGTGAGGCCTTATCGTTGTTCCAAAGACGCCGGAAAAAAGTATGTTCTAAATAGTTCCGAACGTATTGTTGATTGCAAAACCCCATTTGAAACCAGATATAGACTCACCTGGATACAATTTGAGCTCATCGGTTTTATGTTTGAACAAATCTGCTATTAAATCTAACTCTTTGGTTAAACTGTAAACCCTAATTTTTTTTAAAAATTATTTTTTGCTTTCCAGCCACAAAAGAATGCAAAATATGTGTTCGTTCATGTGGGCCCAGTCTCTTGACAGTGACAGCGAGCTTATATCACATAATTAACAACTAGATCTAAAGCGAATTTCAAATGAATAGGCCTATTCTAAACGATTCTTTTCTAAACGATTCTTTGCTTAATTAAAGGAAAAATATTTCGTTCCAATTTCAAACTACCCCAACTCACTGATCCAATACAAATGTATCTCATTGTTTGCCAAATCTCCACATTGTACAGGAAGCGATGGTGCACACTTCTCTGAACAGTCTAGAGGACCTCAGAATATTATGTTTTTAACCTCCTTGGATAATCTAATGGACCCTCGAGTATCTAAGAATAAATTCTATTCATGACGTCTTTGGATAATTTAGAGGACCTTGGAAAAAATTATATTTATAACCTCTTTGGATAATCTCGAAGAGCTTGAAAAAAATCGATTAACAACCTATGTGGATATAATCTCAAGGACCTTGGAAAAATTATATTATTATTCATAACCTCTTTGGATAATCTAAAGGATTCTCAAGGACCTCGGAATAAATTATATTTATAACCTGTTTGGATAACCTCAAGGACTTTGGAGAAAGATCCCATTCGTAACCTCATTGGACAATCTCAGAATCTGGGAACAAATCTCAAGCTTCTGAAGCTCGCACTGACGTAACAATGGCGACAGAAGTGGGCGTGGTCCGCGCCATCTTGCGCCAGAAGGAGTTCCTGCTGCGACGCCATCTTGTTCTATCTAGGACTGTTCTAGATCAACTAAAGGAGAATGGGATACTGACTGAGTTTGTCAGGAGGAAAATAGCGGTCAGTAGTTTGTTTGTCTGTCTGTCTGTCTGTCTGTCTGTCTGTCTGTCTGTCTGTCTGTCTGTCTGTCTGTCTG